TACGGTCAGCAGTGAAGGACTACGTTTCAGTTCCATAGGTCATTACTGGCAACACGCAATGGTAGCACAGTCTAGTTCTTAAGTTTTGAAGTATACCTGACGAGAAGATATGCCGTATTTTCCCGAACGCTGCCCAGCCGAGTTGAATCTCTGACATCTCGGTTGAAGTTGGACTTACCTAGCCAGACTATTTGTACCAGATAAACATACTCGTCCCCAACAACTACCGGCATATGTGTGACATTTACGTTATACATGATCTTTGTTTCGTCCACGTTCATCTTAAGAACTATCCGTTGGGAGACACTATTGAGGTTATTGAGCATAGTGCTTAGGTCTTCCAGCGATTCTGCCATAAGGACTATATCGTCGGCAAATTTAAGATGAGTTATGTACTCGCCATTGACGTTTATACCATATCCTTTTTAGTCCAGTAGCTTAAAAACATCTTCCAATGCAGCGGTGAAGACTTTCGGGAAAAAAAACGTCACTCTGTCTTATACCTCTGCAGTTAGATAAGTTCCTTACTCTGGTTCTGTACTCGGATAGCCATCGTAGACCTACTGTACAAATACTTCAGCACTTCGATATACCGACAGTCAACTTGGCACTGCTGAAAGTACTGCAGCATTGTACAAATTTCGACGGAATCAAAGGCTTTCTCATAGTCCACATATACCAGACATAGTGGCAAATTGTACTCCTAGGACTTCTGTGCAATTTGCTGAAGGGTATGTAGTGGTCTATGGTGCTAAAGTCTTTTCGGGAACCGGTATTTTCCAGAGACTGGAAGTCGTCGAGCCTGTGTTCAAGACGATTCGTAATGACTCAAGAAAACAACAGGTAGACCCGACTCAGAAGAGAAATCGGTCTGTAGTTCTTCAAAATATCGTTGTCTCCTTTCTTAAAGAGCAAGACAACCGGACTTCTGCTCCACGCCTCCGGTGTAGTGCCTCCATGGAGGATGGAATTAAAGAGCTTCTGAAGGTCTTTAAGTGCCGGTCTTGCACCCGCTTTCAGAAGCTAATTGTAATTCATTCCTCACCTGGAGAACTTATCTCCTTATAGGATGATTCAATTCCAATTAATATAATATGTAAAAATAAAGATGTTGATACAAAAAGATAAAAGAAGGTATGGGAAGCCATCGTTTACGCCAGTGTTCGATATTGAGCATCGCCCTCGGAGCTCACGCGGCTCTCGCAAGCGGTCAAAAGGACGTTCAAGGCATAGGACGTATCTTCCGTGTGAGTGCAGGCACGGTGTGAGGTCTTCCTATATTCTTAACAAGACGTCGCGAATATAGTCCCCCGCGTTGAAGCGTAGTCTTCAAGACTGATTGAGTGGAAGGGGACAAAGGTTGTTAAAACTTCGAACAATAAGTCCTTTCTTTGTTATTATTGTCATCCATCGCAGAGTCTACTTCGTCTGAGGATGCCTCGTATAGAGGTGAAACCCGTGTTGTTGCTGTGTCTCTGTTAGTTTAGTAGTGCTGGGATAAGTGGTGACGACGATAATGCACGAAATTGAAGAAGGGCGATAGGTCCTAAAACTAGGTAAGACACATCATTATATTTTGACACGCGGATATAAGCTAATAAATTTTTAAGATCTTTAACATGGCATGAAGTTCAGCCTATGCTTTATATCCTTAACTTCATATTGTACATATACCAGTACATTATGTTCTTTATTTTTTATTAAAAAAACACTTCTATTTAATGACCAGTTGTTATAAATTTAACTAGATGCACGTCATTCTTTAATATAATATCGAGTCATTTTAAAGAAAATAATGTACAGATAAATAAAAATTCTATAAAAATGTGAGATAATGTAGACCGCATTTGCCTCATTTTGCCTGCCCCTAAGCGATATGCGGACTGTGAGCGACGGGCTTGTAACCCTTTTTTACTATCACATTTAAAACATGTCACACAGAATGAATACTCGACATGATTTATGTCACTCTCATTTTTAGTTTCTTTATTTTTATATATTTTATATTTTATTATGCAGTGATAATATATAATAATTTCTTATATTAACACGATAACTAAACATTGTACATTCAATTTTGAAGATATTATCGCATTAAATTTAACTTATTTTGCATATTTTAATTTTCATATCCGTTCACACAAAACCAAAATTCACCCAAAACCTCCTTTAATTAAACAAGCAAAAATACGAAAGTTAAATTAAACGCATTAAACTATACGTGGTAGAGCCATGCTGAAGCTATATACGAGTAAATCGTATAGTTGTAACACGAATGAGTCAGCTCAACCGGTGAAGGCCAACGCTCTCACAGAATACCGGCGTAAAATAGCAGCTTAACGCTGCTGTGTTTCGTATGGTGAGTGTAGAGAACCGGAGATCCTTTTTACTGGAACCGAGGCTTTCATTTTAGTCCTCACGGGTAACAATGCATCTGCAGTTACTCGTAAATTCGTAATTGAGAATAGATGTAGATCGGGCACATCAACCACTTACCATAAGGTAGACTTGCTCGTTTGTTACCACTATATAATAAAAAAAAACGCCATGAAATCTGTAAAATTAGTTTCATTTAAATTGGTAGTATTATTTGAAATGATATTAATTTAATAACATGTTGTAAGAATCTGAGCAACAAACATGCAGCGGGCGAGGATCTTAACACGCATGATAGACATAATATGTCTTACTGCTATAGTGTTCTGTGTATGACGCTACGTTACTACGATACTACTTCGCTACGCTGCTACGCTTCTACGCCTCTACGCTGCTACACTTTTATACCTCAAGGCCGCCAAGTAACTCAGCTGTTACGCCAAACTTTTGTGGTCAAGAGGCTTTAAGCAAGCACGATGTCAGTATCTATTTGGGACAGAATATAATAGAATATATTTTTTTATTTGCTTTAAATAAAAATACATAAAGGTTAAATACTGTTAGAAGAGAAGGTCTGACGACGCCGCGCCGGGCTATATAGGAGGGCGGCTGGCGTCACTCGCCCCTTTTTGCCGACGGTCATCACGGAGTGCGGAAGCTTTGCTCGAATACTAGCGTCATTATTTTGAACCTTGTTTTAAGCTTTTAAGTTAGTTAATATTTGTTAGGCCAAAGGCCATTAAAATATTTTAAATAAAGTCAATTCGTGTTTCTATTTGTAACATCAGAAGTGGGATCAGAAGGCTGAAAAGCCGCTGTACGCCTATATTTCTGGTTTTATAAAGGAAAACTTAGTTTCCTTTCAGTTGTTTATTTAATATTCGGGCACAGTTTTTGTCTGTGAGATGCCTAGCAACGATAAACGCAACAAACAAAAACGCCGTGGGCAAACTCCTTCGCCCAATCCGATGGAAGAGATCCTGAGGAGGCTACGCGTGCTGGAGGAGCAGCCCCGTGCGTCAGTGGAGACGCAAGCCATTGCAACGACCAGCTCGGGCCCTAGGTGCGCCCTCGAGCTGCCAAACACGACACCATCGGCATCGGCATCGGCATCGGTGTTCGGGATGCCTACACCGCCGCGTGCGCCTGTGCCCTCGCGAGTGGGGACGCCGCCGCTGACTCCGCACACTGGCAACGTGGGATCAACGCAGTCTGAAGACGTGGTGACGAACGCCGTAGAGCGTCTTTTGACCGCTATCGGCAGTACTCAGGTCAGATCTAACCGATATTTTGTCTCTGATTTTGATCCGAATGTTCATGACTTCGACACGTGGTGTGATGAGGTAGAAAGAGCCCGTATTTCGAACCATTGAGACGACAGAGAATGCCTTGCTCGTGTCGGACATTGTTTTAAAGGAGAATCTCGCACCTGGCTTAGCCAATGGACGAGCAGTATTCGCACGTGGTCCAATTTCAAATCAGAACTAAAAGCGCTATGCCCACGTTCTGTCGATGTCGCGAACATGCTTTATGATGTAATGAGGACAGGGTCAGATAAATACTCCACATATGCTGAGTATGCTCGTAAATCACTTTTAAGGTTACGCATAGTTAAAGGTCTCAGTAGCGAGCTGCTTACGGCTATTATCATTCGTGGAATTGCAGATCCACAAATTCGTGCTATGGCTGCTAACGCCAAATTATCACCTGACTCCATAGTGGAGTTTTTATCGAGCTTTGTTAAACCTTCTAACAGCCATAATAGGAAAGTGTATTCTAATGGTCTCAATCGATTTGACCGACCCTCTAATAATAGTAACTCGAACCGCAAACCGATAAAACGTCGATATGATTCCGAAGACTTAAAATCAATAAGGTGTTACGAATGTAATCAATTTGGTCATAGGAGTTTTAATTGTAACAAACGGTCGAATACACTCCCGAGTTATAGTAACGAAAAAACAATCGCGTTACCGACGATATCTCGTAGCGATCCGTTAAAGTGTGGGTTTTGCAAAAAGGTAGGTCATTCCGAGGTAACTTGTTTTGCTAAGGAATGCGCAAATTCTCGGAATAATAATGGTGTCAATTTTTGTCGCGAAATCACGGACAGTTATAAAAATCGCGACGTCACGACTGCGGTCATATCGGGAATACCATTAGACGTACTAATCGATAGTGGTTCATGTGTTTCCTTAATGTCAAAAAATGATGTTAAGCATTTTCCGTGTCAAGTAAAGCCTACGAATCAGTTGCTACGCGGCTTGGGTGGTATGGAAATAAGGTCGGAATCATTTGTAACATTACCCGTCGAGTTTAGCGATATAACGATAGAAATTGATTTTTATGTGGTGGGTGGGAATAATTTGACTGTGCCAGTCATTATCGGTACAGACGTACTAAACAGGAAAGGTATTACATATGTTAGGACCGGTGATAGCCAACGTATAATTCATAGTGAGGCGACTGTAAACGATATTCTGCAAGTAAATTTGATTTCTTTGTCCGATCAAGTTAATACGTCGGTATTTGGAAATAATAGAAAACGATTACTAGAGATCCTCACCAAGTATTCCGATTTCTTTTTAAGTGGTACCGCGACCACAACGGTGAAAGATAGTGAGATGCATATCAAATTAACAACCGATGTGCCCGTGTACTATAGACCCTACAAATTATCGCATGGCGAAAAATTAAAAGTACGCACTATAGTGAAGGATCTGCTCGATAAAGGAATTATTCGCGAGTCCGATTCAGAATACGCTAGTCCGATCTTGCTCGTAAAAAAGAAGGATGGTTCTGATAGAATGGTCGTTGACTATCGTGCATTGAATCGAATAACCGTTAAAACTAGATATCCTCTCCCCTTGATCAACGACTATATAGACAGGCTAGGCAATGGTCGCTGGTTTAGCTCTCTGGATATGGTTTCCGGTTTCCATCAACTTAGAGTTGCAGAAGAGTCGATTCATAAGACCGCATTCGTTACACCAGAGGCGCAGTATGAATATTGCAAGGTACCCTACGGTTTGGCGAACGCGCCTATATTTTATCAGAAGACTATCTCTAAAACGCTTAAATCTTTTATCGATGCCGGAAAAGTCATGGTCTACATAGATGACGTATTAATAATGACGGTCGGGATTGACGAACACCTCGTTTTATTAGATTCGGTTATGAAAACGCTAACTGAAACAGGTTTTTCAATTAATTTAAAGAAATGTACTTTTGTTACTAACGAAATAGAATACTTGGGTAGGATTATAAGAGATGGTCAGGTTAGACCGAGCAATTATAAAATTGATGCGTTAGATATGAGGTTCAATTGTTAGCCGGCGCTTACGGAAAGACTAGTCAGGCAGCTGCAGCATACATGGTGTTATGGAAGGGTGAATGGACACCCGAAACATGTGCTGCATTTTTTGAAGGTACTAGTAGTACGATTGCTGTTATATTTGCTTTGTTATTTTACATACCTAATAACCCCTCATCTGTCAACAGGCCTCTGGAATATTGGAGTAAACAAAGGCGCATATTATGTCAAGTGCCTCGTGGAGCTCGATCAGTTCCCACGTATTTCTATATTTTTTGCTATATTTCTTATCCAAAAGTTAAAACTATGTTTGTGATAAGAATGTGAACCCAAACGGGACATAAATTATTACATAAACCACTTAATTTGCAGTATTCTCGACTCTCGACTTAAACTCACCCAAAACTTACCTTATCGGGTCATTTAAGTGAGGCATGTTATCGTAGAGCTTGTGGGGTGAACAAAAAAAAATGTGTTAAGAGCTATGTTATTTTTATGGATTTATGTTAAATATGTTTTAAGTGGGTAAAGTAAAATATTTGTCGAATAAAGGTTTGCTTTTATGATTGTAACGACTTATGTGTATTGAAGTAGGAGGAGCTCGATTACATCAATTTCAAAATAGAATTGATAATGTGTTACGAAGGGAGCTGTCCTGATTCGTATGTAATTCGTTAGCTTATTTTATAATGACTCAAACGATGTATGCATTGTTTATAGCTCTCATACGGGACTTCTGCAGAAATCGCAAATCTGATTACACGTACCGCGATCGCGCGAGTTCCTTCAGAGGTGCCGCGGCGAATGCGCTTGGTCGTGTGTTGGTGCTGTGACAATCGAGAAGATAATCTTTCCCTATTCTTGAGCTAGATTATGTACCAAACAAGCCCGTATTTATTGATTTTGACTACGTTACGTGTTGTGTTCAGTGGAAGAGACCCGTATAAATCCTGTGCGCATGGTATTGGGTTGACCCTGACACTGGTGGTTTCTGGGGTGAGTCGGTGGCGCAGCCGACAACAGACCTGTGTAAATCCAGCCATTATTAGGTATCTGGGGTGACCTGCTAGAGACTGATGTAAATCCTGTTTGCACACGCGAGTATGTGCGGGGTATTCGGTTGCGTGGGAAGAGACCTGTGTAAAACCTATGTGACTTGAAACGCTTTTGTGTGGCGTTGATAACTGTTCATGTTGACTGTTTTGACTGACTGACTTGTTTGGCTAATTGGGTACATAATCTGACGCTTTTATGAACTATATGAATTTTGATCAACTGTTAATACGCGATATAAATAAGTGTCTCTTAGATTGTGTGTATCTTCTCAGAGATCGACGATGGTGACGTCGAACAACCGCGGGACGCGGTGAGTGTTGCTGAGCCATCCACGAGTTCCTGCTGAGGGCTTCGAGCACGCAGCCCCGTCAGGAGAGGCCGTGTTAGAAGAGAAGGTCTGACGACGCCGCGCCGGGCTATATAGGAGGGCGGCTGGCGTCACTCGCCCCTTTTTGCCGACGGTCATCATGGAGTGCGGAAGCTTTGCTCGAATACTAGCGTCATTATTTTGAACCTTGTTTTAAGCTTTTAAGTTAGTTAATATTTGTTAGGCCAAAGGCCATTAAAATATTTTAAATAAAGTCAATTCGTGTTTCTATTTGTAACAATACAGTAACAAGTTTTAAGGCGGTAGTCACATACCATCAGTTGAACCCCATACTAGTTTGCTTTACATGTAAAAAAGTAAGAAGGTCACTGTATTCAACAAGTTGGCGACATGCTAATATTAGGTATGAGCATAATACGAGTATGTCTACTGAATTTTCTGCATTGTTACGTAATATAATTAATTATTCATCACAATATCTATATTTTGAAACCATTGCTATATTTAAACACATTAAAGGAGAGAATTATTTTGTGGCCACTACAAATGATAATGTTTATTATTGGTATATCATATAAAAAAGAAAACAATTTATTATAGTAAACGGGCTAAAGAGTATATGGAAGTCCAACGGTATAATCAAATCTTACTAAAACGGTAACATATTGATAAACGTGATCCGGTTAATGTATAAATGAAAAAAACAACATCATGTTAAATGATGATCATGAAACGAAACGTATTAAAACCTAGTAATAAAAAATAAAAACACGATATCGAAACATAATATCGATACTGTACGCGACACCACTATCATCTTAATAATAAATACCATAAGGTATCCAAGTAATTATTATAATGACGACTTTTTCTGCCACCAGGGTGGTGCCACTTTGTAATGAGGTGAAATATTTTACTGATTTCTTAGCGGGGGAAGGGATTCTATGTGTGTACGAAAAACATTAATTATAAGCTGATGGTAGCCTGGGTTAACTATAGAATTGGGCCAAATATTAACTATAGTTTCGAGTGCTGGCTTACCATGTAGTAGGCAGTAGAGAAAAACTACGTGTGGAAACCTGCATGTCTGAGAAATAAAATATATTTCGAAGATATAATATGAATTATCGTTAAGGTACCTGCTACTGTATATCGTCGACAGTAAACTCCGCGTATTTTAATTGCTTAAAACTACTAAAATCACAGTTTTACCTTAAATAACTACTAAATCGTACATAAAACAGTGTAAAAATCAATAGCTTATGTTATCTACACGAAATTATTAGAGAAAAGTGCTTAAAAACGCCTTTAAAAGGTGACAATAAAACTTTATTTACACTAAAAAGTACAGTGTTATTCTTTCTTGTAACAAATTAAAAACAAACGGTGCACTTCAAAAATGATTATTAACAGTGGAACAATATAAACATAAAAACATATACCAGTGTATTTACGTAATAGAAAAAGTGAATAAAATCATCTGATCTCAATTCAAAACTTCATATACCATCTAACGTTTTTATAAAATAAAGTGCGTACATACAGAACATTAATTTCGTTAAGTTTCACATCTAATTGGTGGCGTGGCGGCGTAATATTCGGCATTGTCAAGTTAGCTGTTTGGCACGAGTTCGTATCCCGCATTGAATATGTCTTTTTGTAACAGTTTTCGCTATGTCTAGTAGTTACTCGGAATGTTTCGAATATTAAGTTAAATGAGACTAAACATAATTATGGCCTTAACAGTCGTTGAAATGCTTAAATCGTGGATATTTAAGTAAAAAAATCTCTATAACTGTTCATTTAATCCACAAAGAAAAAATACAGGGTAACAGAAGAAGATTTGGTAAATGTTTTTAATTAAATAAAATTGTATTTTTGTCAACTCCGTATTAGAAAAAAAGTCCCCAAAGAGTACCTATCTTTGTCATATTTTGCAAAATTTCTCCAAAACGGCACAAGCTCTTTAAATAGTTCTTACACTAAAAATAAGGTCTTAAAAATATTAATTTTTTTAATTGAGAGTTTTATTTTTATTCTCCGTTTTATAAGAGAATATATCATTTTTCCCTGAAATTGAATATATTTACGCGAGCGCGCATGCTCCGTCGCCATGTAAGCTTTGTCACAGTCCGTTTTCGGACATCGTCGAGGGTGGACCGCACGTCGGTGTTGGAGTGACTTCGTTCAAATGTATATTAGTTTTTTAAAAGTTTATACTCAATTATAAATATTTTTATGACTAGAAATACTTAATTTAGTTAATATCTGTACACTGGTAACTGTAAATATTATTTTGTAAATAAATGAATTTTTAAAGTGCCCAAAGAAGAAGAAATTTTCGCAGCGACGTTGATTAGTGAAATTGAAAAATGCATTTTTATATAATTTAGATGTGCAACGACGAACATGGTCTCGTTACTTAGATTTCGATAGTTTTAAATACCTATGTAATTTTATTGTTGCATATTTTTATTAATTAGTTGATACTGAAGTTTATAATTATGTATTACAATAAAACGCTGTTTTTATGAGTATGACTTTATAAAATATTATTGGGGAGGGAAATAAAGATACAGATACTTACATTTAGGTACACTGCTATCAAATTAAATCAAACAATTTAAATAAATAAAAGAATAGTGCTTACTTAAGTATAAATAACTATATAAAGACATTCTTGGGTTTATGGTTTTTTTTTATGTTAGACAAACTATCATCTAAAAAATGTATAAATTTTAAATTGGAGAGGGGTTTCTCTACGTGATAAAGTTAGAAATGAAGATATTTGCATTAGAACCAGAGTAACTGACATAGCCCAACGGAATATTACAGTGAAATGGCAATGGGCTGGTTATATAACTTCGAAAACAGATAAAAAAATAGGAAGAAAGGTCCTCGAGTGGCAACCTCGTACAGGTAAGCGAATTAGTACTCAACCTTTATTCCTCTTCACGTATTCTCATACGCTTTTCTTCCCACACACACACATACACACACACACACACACACATACACACACACACACACACGCACGCACGCACGCACGAACGCACACACGCACGCACGCACGTACGCATGCACGCTCGCACGCACGCGCGCACGCACGCACGCACGCACCAACGCGCGCAAGCACCCACGAACGCACGCACGTACGCACGCACGCACAAACGCACGCACGAAAGCATGCACGCACGCACGCACGCACGCACGCACGCACGCACTCACGCTCGCACGGCCACACGCAAGCACGCATGCACGCACGCACGCACGCACGCACACACGCACGCACGTACGCACGCAAGCACGTACGCACGCACGCACGCACGCACGCACGTACGCACGCAAGCACGCAAGCACGCACGCACGCACGCACGCACGCACTCACGCACGCAACCACGCACGCACGCACGCACGCACGCACGCACACAAGCACGCACGCACGCACACACACACAAATAGGTCAAATAATACCTAGTACTATTAGGCAAGAGTGAATAGGTTTTTGTTAAGTCAGTGCAATTCACCATCTTAGACTACATAACCACTTACCGATGGGATTGTAGTTGCTTTACTACTTGCTGGGTAAAAATAGTAAAAAAAAAATTTACCCTGTGAAAGTTTGCATTTAGATA